GAGAGAGAGAGAGAGAGAGAGAGAGAGAGAGAGAGAGAGAGAGAGAGATAGAAAAGAAGAGCTATAAGATATGAATATGTGTGAGTCTGTGTCTGATGGAGCATGAAGTGTGTATGAGTGAGTGTTTTTTGTGCATGCATGCATAAGGATGAGAGGAATTACATAAGACTGTCCTAGTTGTGTGTTTTCCCTTTCTCTTGTTTTCTCCCCCTTTCCTCCCGGACTCCCGCTCCCACCTCCCTGCCTTTCTGCTTCTTTCTCTCTCTTCCTCTTCCCTTCTCCGCCTCTCCATCTTTCGCTCTGTCTTGGTTGATACTTGCTGCAGTGTGTGTGAGAGTATGTGAGAGACCATGCATGTGCAGAGGATGCATTATGCAACCGTGCTCGGTGTGTACATGTGCATGAGATAGAAGGCGCGAGTCGATGAGGATGAAAGCACGGGAGAGAATGGGAATAAGAAATGTGGTGGTGGTGCTGTTGAAGGAGGGGGATTCCGCCAAAGCTTAATCCATTTGGCAGTGTACTATGTCTGGCTTTCTGTTTGACTGCTTTTAAATCTCACGCCAGCCAGCCACATAAGTTAACCTCCCTATAATCTGTCCTCTGGTGCTGGGGAGGCGTGTCAGATCAAGGTCCAGGGTGTCAGAGCTAGAGGAGCTGAGAGTAGCCGCACCGGTGGCCTTTTTGTCTCTCTGCTCGGCATTAATCCCGGGTTAGGACTATTAGTCTAATGATCAAAGAGGAGCACAAGTACAGCCCCAATATTGTCACTTGAGCTTCAGCTTGGCATGGCTCTATACACGGGATTATAAATGCACCTTTTCTCATTGTTTCTACCCCTAACCAACCTTTAAACCCACCCTCACTAAAACTCAAAATGCTGTTTGGTGCCTGAGCTGGGTATGCCATTACATAACATAAACACGTTGGCTAGAACATAATATTACTGTATAAGCATAATACTAAGCAGACAAGGCAATCTTTAAATAAGTGACTCAGAAAAAAAGATGCAGGTGTGTGTGGATGTATGTTCGTGAGAGACAGCATTACATAGCCAGCTTGCCGAAGATTCTCCACCTTTTTCTTTCACACTGAATGAATTATAGGCTGTGAGCTATGGTGTGTGTGTATCACATGTGTGTATACTGAAGATCTCCTCTGTTCGTTTCATAACTGTAATCTGGTAATTGCTCATTAGGACGTAGATCAGAAGATTATTTTATACAGGGTTCATCACTGCCATGGTACTCACAAACATACTGTAGCTGTAGTCTGTCTTCCATGTATGCCTGTTACATTTCAGCGTGTGTGCATGTGTGCTAGCATGTGTGTATGCACTACAAAGAGATGCTATGAAGGAGGATAAGCAGGGTAACAGTGTCTGTAAACCACCTGCAGTCAATCAACTAAGATTAGAAGGCAAAGATAAATGAACTTGCATGCATGACCGAGCACACAAACAGCCTGAAATATAGTCAAGGTTTATTTAGAACAAAGGCAGGTGAGGCAATGCTTTTTGTGAGTGCTGCTTGGATTGGGTAATGTTGTATGTATTAGGAATAGGCTTTAAGTGCAGTGTGGGGAAAAAATACAGCAGTTTTACAATTTTTCTTTTTTTTGTTTGTTTCATTGATATCCAGGCAAATGTTACTGATAAAAAAAACAAATGGAAACTGTGCTCTGTAATTTAGACGTTAGAAAATGTCAACTGAACACCTCAGGCTGGCTAGTACGGCTGATGTGTTGTTCTGTCTGCGACGGTGTCTTGTGGGCATGCCTGCGGACGGACTGTGACAGGAAACAGTTTGTGCGCTGGATTGATGGAAGTGGCGACGTGGAACAATCTGATGAAATAATGTCTGTTTCACCTCCTCCAGCTAGGTCACAGCATCCCTTGCGGCCCAAAACCAATCTCAATAACTTTCTGTCTTCCTTTTTTTCTGCCTTTTTCTTTCTTCCTGTCATTTTCCCTGCTCTCTTTGCCTCCATCTTCAGTGTAAGACCTTAGCAGGGATATGCGATCACATCATCTCTCTGTCGTCAGACTCTCTGGTCTCTCAGTCTGCCCATCTGGAGGTGGTCCACCTTACCAGCATCATGCCAAACGAAGGCCTGGTGAGGACCTCTTTGAAGATGCACACAATCAAACAAACTAAGGCTGTTTTAAAACTGCATGTATCAACAAGTATTTTATTTCGACAATCGATTAAATCATATTTGTACTGTGAAAGGAAACCTGTAGTTGCATAGCATCTTCTAACCTAAAAGTCTTCCAGGAAGCACTTATACAGCTCTTAATTTACATTTTCTAGGCTCCAGGTCTTGGTTTATTTTTTGCAGGTTAAGGTCATGAGAGCTGGATGTTTCAGGTACAGACAGTCACTAAATGGTTTGACGATCGTAAAACTGTAGCCTCATACAAAGCCCAGTCAAGTATGAGTGCAGAATTTGGACTGGCGGTTTGAGTGTTTTGGTGGTTCTTGGCTAACCGGAAACTTTGTGTTAGTGTTTCTTTTAAAATGATCCATCTGTACAGTTGAAGTTTCACAGCAAATATTTCCTAACTAGGTCTGAAGTTCTCACTTTTCAGGTCAAAGGATAAATATGCAGCACTGTGCAGAGGTCTTGAAAATGCCAAAGAAGTTCTAGACAAAAAACTTGTATCCTGGCATTGCGTGCAGTGCGTCCTGGACAAAAGTCGAACTGGCAGGCCTAAAAAACTATCTACAGCAGACGAGAAGTCATGTCCTTAACAAATAGGAAAACCTCCAGCAAAGACCTGACAGAAGACCTGAGAAATGTATCTGGTCCTTCAGCTGATCCACCAACTGCTCAGTGAAGCCTCATCAGAAATGGCCTATGTGGTAGGGTGACTGTCAAGGAAGGAAGTAAAACAGAGAGAAACTGATAGCAAATTACACAAGAACTGGACTGAAAATATGTGGCAACATGTCTGATGGAGTGATGAATCCAAACTGGAAATTTCTGTTCAAGTAATTTTCAACATGTATGTACACGGTGGAGGCTCTGTCGTGGTTTAGGCTGCATTTCAAGCCATTGGTGGTGTCTTATCTATCTATCTTCTTCTTCTTTGATCCCTAGCTGGCGTTAGGCCTCGATCGGCTCCTAAGCCAATACGCCAATGGTGGGTGCCAATGGTTGTCGAATTTCCTTCACAACTCGTTTCCATGCATGATGATCGTTGGCTATTGTCCTGGCCTTGTCGAGATTTATTCTGCAATCTCTGACGTCATCTTCGACCTGTCTTAGCTATGTTTTCTTTGGTGCTATTTGTTGGATTCTCCACTGGGTGGGTTGTTTACAGCAGAAGAGTTGGTGTGGTAGTCGGCTCGCGTCCATTCGACACACATGGCCAAACCATCGCGATCTGCGTTTTTGAATTTGCTCCTCGATTGGCGGTTGGTTGTCGCACATCCGTCGGATGTCCTCATTTTGAAGGCGGTCTCAAAGTGATACTCGCAATATCTGCCGAAGGCAACGCATCTGGAAAACTTTGAGTTTGTTGAGGTCCACTTTGAGCACCGTCCACGTTTCGGGTCCATAGAGTAGAATCGGCAGGATCAGTGCCCGGAAAAGGCTGATTTTGGTCGGGATGGAAATATTGGTTCGCTTCCGGTGTCTTGTCTATAAGGTGTCTGATTGGCAACAGCTTCATTTTTCAGCGTGGCAATGATCCCCAACAAACTTCCAGTACAGTAACAGCATACCTGTGTAGAAAATCACACAATGGACCTCTATCAGTCATGGATTGGCCTCTACAGAGCCTGGACCTCAATGTTATTAGAGCACTGTGGGATCATCTTTACAGAGAACAAAGCAAAGGGCAGTCAACATGCAAAGAAGAGCTTTGAATGTCCTTCAGCAAGCCTGGAGAACTATTCCTGAAGACTACTTGTAGAAATTAGAATAAAGCTTGGCTAAGAGAGTTCATGCTGTATTAAACAATCAAGTTTGTCAGTATTATGTAAACTCTGTTTTTCCCTTATATTACTGTGTAGACCGCTCATAAACTGGTGCACCTATTTCCCATTTAGGGAAATATAAAAACAAGCAAAATATAAAAACACGAGCGGCAGCTCAAGACTTTTGCACAGTACTGTACATATGATGTATTTCCCTGTGTACTCTTATACTAAATCCAGCCTGCCTACCTGTGTTTGCTTGCGCTTCAGGGGATGTATATAAAATCAACATATGATGGACTCCATGTTATTACTGGAACCACAGAGAATGTGAGTTTTTGTTTCACTCATTTGAAAGGTTGATGCTCCACCAACCCCAATTTAACACCGATTTTGTTGCCTCAGTATTCGCCTAAATTTGTTTCCATTGTCTGTTTTTGTCCTCCATTTTTTGCCTCTGCAGTCTCCAGCAGATCAGTGTAAGAAGATCCATCCAGGGGATGAGGTGATCCAAGTCAACCACCAGACAGTGGTGAGCTAAAGACCTGCCAAACACAACACTGAAGGCATAAAAAAATCACAGAAAAGGTCCTTTTCATTTGTTTCCACCGTGACTGCAGTCTTTTGTTCCCATTATGTGCTATGTTAAGGAGGTGCCAAGGTACATAATGTCTGCCGGCACCACCACTGCTGCCACCATGGTGCTTCCTGTCCTGTGCCTGTGTTGCTATATAGGCTAATTAGGCTAGAGGCAGGAGCAGATTATAGGGCAATTGTTAGAAGACCTTTATTCAGACCAGTGTGATTATCTGCTCACTCGTTCTGGAATTTCTTCCTATTGTCAGAAAAAAAAAACCCTGAAGGAGGCGTCCTGTTTGAAATGAGAGCCCATGTTCCACTTTCATGTGTGAAAAGCTGTATTCTGCCTATAACTCATCACATCAGAGAAAAGCAGAGAAATGGGCAGCCATTTTAAATGGAACGATGGCTTGTGAGGGCATGTGATTGAACGCGCCTATCTATTGCCTGTGCTGTCAGCTCGGGCACAAAAAATTTGTTCCAGTGTTTATATGAGTTTTCTGAAGGGGGGAGGTGGGAGTGTTGTGTCTGTGTGCAGACGTCTTTTGTCTGCTTTTTTTCCCGTATGAATTTCCTTGTGCATCTCGATAGGTGTTGCTCATGCGAAAGAATGCATGCAGGGGCTTGGGAGCGGTTCTGATTGACATGTGAGGGAGGTAGGTGTTATCTCTGTCTCTCTCTCCTCGGGGTGACGGTGCAGATCGCACCCTGCCAGGCTCTCAGCTCCAACCCTTCATTACTCCCTCAGCTAGACCCTCACCACTCTGATACCTCACTCTGGGGTAGGAGATAAGCAGTGGGGGAAACAGAGGTGTGTGTGTGTGTACGGTAAGGGGGGGGGGGGGGGGTGGTTTGGGGGGGTGTGGTGGGGGGTGGGGGGGGGCTGAAGCATTTGGGGGAGGCTGAGATGCTGAGGCAGAGCTGGGAGAGTTGGTGGGAGGGAGGAGGAAGTAAAGAGGGACTTGGGGAGAAGAGTAAGGGGATAAAAGAAAAAGAGAAGGGGGGGAGAGACAGCAGAGGGAAGTCTCCAGTCAACACAGCTCTTCGTTCAATCCCAAATTGAGCTGCTAAAGAGTAAAGACGGATACACACCACCAGTAAACTGTAACTGTCAACAGCAATTGATAAGTTCATCTTACCAGCCTTCAAAGTTAAAATTACATTAGTGTAAATATATATCGTACAAATTCCGTTACATTATGGAATCATCATGTAGGCCTATTAAGCAACAACGCTGCCTTCGTGTCTGTGAATGAGGGTTTTTGGAGACTCACTTCAAAACAGGGAGTTGTTGTTTTTTTTTTAGCTCAGCTCATTTTCTAAGGGAAAATGTGGAATTTGCTCAAAAAAAAAACTGATTGTTTGAAGAGGCAGCATAATTATGTGGAGGTAATAGCATCTGGGAAAATAATGAAGACCCCTGGGATTTGAAAAAAGCTCTCCAGCAGCAGTTTATGCTCTGTTATTTTGGTAGGTCTCTCCCTGCTTCCCTTTGCTATCTGTGTATTTGGATAAGAGAGGAGACCTAAACTGGGCTGGTTACCAGTAGCTGTGTGAGCCCTTGTAGTTTACAATGCACTATGTTGCTGTGGAGCTTAAAGTCATGGAAGAAACAAAAGTTTAGCTTGATAAAAGTCGAGTTCAGCTCACTCGCAGTTTAGCTGCATAAAAATCAAGGAAAGGAAATCGAACCACAGTCTTATCAACTCATGTAGCTTCAAAACTACAGACACGACAGGATTAGCTTAGCATAGCTAAGTCAGGTGGGGGCAGTGTTTGCTTCAACAAACAAGATATTGCACTAATTGTTAAACTTCAGAAGCACTGATACAAAGTTGTTGTTTTTTTTGTTTTGTTTTTTTCTACATTTTGTCAGATTTGAGCTACCTGTTTCCAACATTTCCCAAGTGATTACACTAAGCTTGGCTAATTGTTGTGTGGTTATCACTTCATGCTAAACAGTTTGCTAGCAATCAGCTCAGCAGCCAAGCACGACAAGAATGTCCCAACATGTTGAAGTTTTCCTACTATAAAAGAGGCCAAAATGCTTAAATGGTAAATGTTCTGTGAGCGTACACAGCTGTTTAAAGCTTTGTCTAAAATGAGTCGACTTTTATTTCAAATCAGGAGCTGATTAATGTATCGTAAACAAGATTTAAAATCTGACCAGAGATTCAAAGCTAGCTTTCGATGCTTGAAGGTGTTTAGATGACAGGAACTATTTATTTCCACACTTCTGTTTGATAAATGTCCTTACCCCTAGCACAAGGATTTGAGCTTGAGCTCAACAGTTCACATTGGTAAATTACAGCACAGATGAATGGCACCAGTTTTAGTGTGTCCAGGAATAACCCCTTTTTGGTTTAAGTGGCAGGAGAGAACAGACAGCAGTAACTCACTTTGACCCAGGCTCTTCCTGCATTTGAACACTGACTGAACTCAGAGCTCTGAACTGGAGAGGGGGAAAGTGGACGCTACAGGCTGACACAGGCCATCATTATGTCAGGAATAAGGTCAGAGCAGCTCTGTCTCTGTGTGTGGCTGAGTGTGCATGCGAGTGTATGTGACCTCTGCGGACATTTACAGTGGCTGAGACCAGTGTAGCCAATCAATGGTCTGACGACTACTTCGAGCTCTGGAGACAGGCCGGCCAGAATTGCTGCAGTCAGCACTCCTTTCTCTCTCTCTTCTCTGCATTCCTTAGGCCTAACTATACTGACTAAGCAACCCTCTATTTAAATATGACACTTCTTTTAGACCAGTGGGGCCACTGTGGTCAGTTTTTTGCTTTACTTAAGGCTACAAAGTTTAGCATCCAAACACTCTGTGTTGCAGCTTGTATGTTTGCAACTATTAAATCGGAACATTTTTCCCTTTTAGGTTAGAGGTGCTTGTATTAGACTACATCGAATTTTAGCTTTGAGTTAAATAGCAAACTCTAAACTAATTTGGTAACTAGTTTCAGAAATTGCAAATTAGAGGTTTATTATAGATAAATAAACCTCTAATAGGTATTACATGCACACCTGTGGGTTCTTTCCGGGTAATCTGACTTGCTCCCACAGTAAAAATGCATATTGGTTTAATTGGGGATTCTAAATTGGCCATAGGTGTGAATGTGACTGTAAAATGTTTTCTGTCTCAATTTGTTAGCCCTGCCACAAACTGGCAACCCTGCCTTTTGCCTTATGACAGCTGGCATAGGCTCCAGCAACCCTGTGACACTGAGTGCAGAAGAAAACGGACTGAAAGTCAACTTCGCTGGAAATCATGCTTGGAAAGTTTTCGGATAAGGGCAGGCACTAGTGAAAATTAAACTTACCTGTCCATCACTGTGTGTCAACTAGCCAATTTTGACCAATCACATTAACAAATCTTACAAGACACATACCAGAGAGTGAAAGCAGGTACTGTTTAGGTAGGTATGAAGTTAGCATGTTAGATAATCCTATCTTTGTAGGGAATATTTGTGTATAACATGAATTGGAACTGGCTGGCAGTGATGATATCTATCTATTGGACATTTAAAACAGAAGTTCCTCATAGGATGCTGGTTTGTCTAAGCTGTATACTAGAGCTGCTCCAGTGGCTTTTCTAATAATTTCTTTCATACTATTATTACTCTCTGTCTGGAAAAAAAAAAGTATAATATGTCCTAGAAACATACACTGTTTTGGACAAGCAGTATCAGAAGCATGTGTGTGGTGGTTTGCAGCAGCAGATTCAGATAAGCCTGATTCATTGTGTAGCAGTTTGCAGCAGTCGTTTCGGGAGCCTGGTATGTGTGCTTCTCAGGTGGGCTGGCAACTGAAGAACCTGGTGAATGCTCTAAGAGAGGACCCATGTGGAGTCATCCTCACGCTGAAGAAAAGGCCCCAGAACACCCTGAGCTCCACGCCAGCTCTGCTCAGGAACGTCCGCTGGAAACCACTTGGCCTGCAGGTAAACACCAGCACAACTCACAGACGCATTAATGTCTTGCATGCTGACTGGACAAACGGTCAGACTCAGTTTAAAAAATTACTGTGACTAAAATGTGAACGGAGATGTCAGAAACTTGTATTACTCCCCTTCTGTTTAGTCTCATGCATCCTTATCAGCACACTCGATAGCTACAGTGTAAATTCACATGTAGTAACCTGTGTAGTACTTCCATCTTTGACTCACTCTTACTCTTGCTTTTACTGCCCACACTCTGCATTCTGCTCCTGGCATTTTAAACGAATATTGTTTTAAAAGAAACTTATTCCCTGATTGACCTTGTATCAGTCCTTCCGTTGAGCATTTAAGAAATCTTTTTTACCATTTGCCACACTGCTGGCACCGTTCAAAGCCATTCACAAATGCGTAGGCAGCTAATGCTCAACCTGAAGAGAATTTAGGCATACAGAAGGCTTGCTTTTTGTATTAAACAGCAATAATGCTAAAAAATCATAGCAGTGGAGAGTAAACTACCTAATTAAATCTGCACTTTATTTCGATATTGTGTGAAGGATGTAAATAGCGCAACGTGGCCTAAAGTTTTATGCTGGAGAGAAAGAATTTAGGCAACAAAAGGTCATCCGAGGGGGCCCCATCCCACTCCCCTCCTGATCACATTCAGATTTATTGAGACTTTAGTCCCGATTCATTCAACCTTTGCCCCAGAGATCGTCTCGTTGTCAAAGACGAGTAAATTTTTAATGTACTGTAGATCTTAAAGGTGGAACGCCTGTTTGAAGTCTCGCAGCTCGTAGTGGGTGTACACATTTCACTTAAGGGCAAATACTTTGTTAATCTGTCACTCGCCGCCCAGAAATATCACTGAGCAATTTAGGCACACAGAAAGAACGAGCTGTGCCGAGACGGACGGAGGGGTGAGGCGAGGGCTAGTCTGATGCTGCCTGAGTGCTCTCTGAAGCGCCAAATGTTTTGTCAAGATCCTGTGTTGCACGACTGCTATTTTTATCTCAGCATCAGGCTAATTCATTTACATGCTACATGTATGCTTTGATCTCTGTTCAGCTGCTCTTTAGCTTTTTGAGGGTTTTTTTGTTTGTTTTTATTTTTCGTATGCTCCTTTTTTATTCTGTGCTTTCTGTGAGCATATAACTGCATTATTAGGTGGCATGCATGCAAGTGTATATTTATGCAGAACTTGCAGCTTCTGGGTAGCGATGTGCAATAGCGCTCAACTTCATTACCACAAGGTGAAAGATCATAACAAGGTAAAAGACTCTTCTCGTTTCCAGGTTGCTGCCTTGTTATCACAGCCCCCGAGTTGTCATCAGGAGCCTATTGTTATATTTATGCAATAGCAGGGGATTGTGGGAATTCTACTCTGATGGACTGCTTAGACATAAACGCGCCATGAGGGGCCCAGATCAGAGCGCAGAGATATCTGCTGGAGAAGAGAAGAAAGGAGTGTTTTAGTTTTGTTCTCTCTCAGAAAGACCGGATCTCTTAATTATTCATAAGCAACTACAGGCAGCTCCACTGGCTCTGAAACAAGAGCTGCTACTCAGCAAATACTGGAGATAATTCACTGAATCCAAAATATCTTGCTAAACAGCCTGTTTGTGTGTGAGCATGTGTGTGTGTGCGGTGGAGAGAGGTGGGTGTGCGCACATTGCTGAGCTTGGCCACATGCACGCTTGTCCATCTGGGTGTCGGAGCAAGTGTGTTACTGTACATGTTTGTGCACGCATGCGGAGAGATGATTCCCCGTCATCGGACCCGTTGCTCCTTTGAGAGGCGAGGGAACTGGGTCACTGCACTCTGTAAGCGCTGGTTTTTGGATTCATTACTGTACATGCACGCTTCCAAATCAAACACACATAGAGAAGACATGCGCACTCGCACCTCTGAGCTCAATTTTGGAGGATGAATTGTAAGGGCTGCGAAGTTTAGCTGAAATGTGGCAAATGTACAGCTGGATTATAACTTAATCCACAAAGGAAACAATTTATCTCGGCATGTTATCATGTGATTCCAAGCTCCCGAAATCCTTCCATGGCAACGTCTTTTATTCTACTAAATGATGACATATCTCTCTCCTTTGCTCTCTCTCTCGTTCTTTCTATGTGTGTGCCGTTTTGTGAGCAGCAGGAAGGAGTAAAAGCAATTCACTGTCATTACATGTGAAAGGGTTTTAAAAGAGAACACGAGGATTACCGTGATGATGCATACCACATGCGTGCATTCTTGCATGAATGTCTTCTGGGCTGCTGCAACATGTATGTGTTACTGAGAGCGTCCACGTCACAGGTCACACATGCGCCACACGTTGTCTGTGACCCTGCTTTCACAAACCTGTTACATGCTCAGACACATAAATCATTACTCTTGATAAAAACCTGCTATTTTGAGCAACATGTATTGGCAGTGAAGCTCTTAATTGATTGGCTAGCTGAGTGCGAGGGAGGTTATTGATTTTTATTATTTTTTTAATAATCACAGGTTGTTCTTTTGGTCTGTTATTGTGCTGTGTGATGTTTTCAGCTCCTAGTTTCATACTCAGTGCAGTCATATGAGTGGTATCAATCTCTTCATCTAACTAGAGGCATTAAAGCAAATAATTACATTTCCCCAAATGTCACACTGTTAATTTGACACATCGGTATATGCCATTTCTATTTTTTCCACGTGGGCTTGCTTTAAATATAGTCACTGGCCACTTCATTATGTACACTTTGATAATACTGGGGGGATATTGGGCCATACTGACATGGTAGCTTAAAACATTTGCAGCAGATTCTTGCACATCCTGTCCACCGCATCCCCCCAAAAAACGGATCCATTTGAGCTTTTTGACACGGTGGGTTATCCAGCCATCAGGAGATGGGTACACTGTCGTCACAAAGGGATAGACATGGTCAGCAAGAATCCTCAAATAGGGCTGTGACATTTAAACAATGCTCAGTTGTTAGTTAGGGGCCAGGAGAATATCTCTCATATTATTAAACCATGAGCTGCCTGAACCATTGATGCAAGGCAGGATGGATCCATGTTTTCTCATTGTTTCACACCAAATTCTGTCCCTGCCACTCCGAGTGTTGCAGCAGAAATCAAGACTCATGAGACCAGGCTGCATTTTTCCAAATGAGCCTGTGCGATTTGTTCTCAATAGCTTGTTCTTAGCTCAAAGAGTGGCATCTGCTTCAATGTTCAACATGTTGTGCGTTCAGAGACGCTCTGCTTTATACCTTGGTTGTACTCAAGAGATTATTTGAGTAGCATAAACAGCCATGCCAGGTTCAAAGTCACTTAAATCACTTTTCTTTCCCATTCTGATGCTTGATTTGAACTTCAGCAGGGCATCTTGACCATGCCTACATTCCTAAATGCATTGAGTTGCTGCCATTTGATTGGCTGATAGATAGATTTTTGCATTAACAACCAGCTGAACAGGTTTATCTAATGAAGTGGACATGAGTGTCCCTCTGGGTCACAGTATGGCTTATTTATCATTATTTATCAGTCACTGTGGCTTATAACTTCTGTGCTTATGATTGAATGTTTATTATTTTAGCACATTTTGGGGGGGCTAGATTTGTCTGTAAATGTTATAGCTGAGTTTAAGTTTAGATTAGTACTGTATTTTTCAGACCATAAGGCGCACCGGATTATAAGGCGCGTTAAGCAAAACAAAACAGTCAGATAAGTCAAACTTTACTCAACTCATTCTTCTTGCTTCCTCCGCTTCTCTATCATTGATTCATTAATGTTCAATTCTCTTGCAGCTGCTCTATTCCCATGTTGTTGCTCAGTTGTTCTCGTGACTGAAGTTTGGTCCATTTACAGCATCTTGCCATGCGATTGCATTTGTCCCTAACCACCGGGAACCCTCATGTTAACTTTTATCGGGTGTGAAAGAATTGCAGCACATTTCACGTATATCAACATACTGATTGTTATCAAGAACACAATCACAATGTGAAGGTGTGATGACAGTTTAGTTCTAGTCAAAACATGTTTATTGTGCTGATTGAACAGAAATGTTGGTGCATGCAGATCTAAACTGTCCTCTCTCCCTGAGCCTGGTTCTGCTGGAGGTTTCTTCCTGTTAAAAGGGAGTTTTTCCTTCCCACATTTGCCAAGTGTTTGCTCACGGGAGGAGGGGGGGAGATGTCATATGATTGTTAGGGTTTTCTCTCTGGGTCGTGGCTCAAGAGTTAGGAGTTCGCCTTGTAATCAGAACGTTGCCGGTTCGAGCCCCAGCTTGGATAGTCTCGGTCGTTGTGTCCTTGGGCAAGACACTTCACCCGATGCCTACTGGTGGTGGTCAGAGGGCCCGGTGGCACCAGTGTCCGGCAGCCTTGCCTCTGTCAGTGCGCCCCAGGGTGGCTGTGGCTACAACGTAGCTTGCCATCACCAGTGTGTGAATGTGTGAATGACTGGATGTGTAAAGCTATTGGGGTCCTTAGCGACTAGTAAAGCGCTATACAAATACAAGCCATGTATTATTGAGGGATCTTTACCCCACAATATGAAGTATCTATATAAATAAAACTGAACTGAGTTGAATATGGCGTTACATAGCTTTATTCAATGGCATTATGTTGTTATTTTGATACACCAAAGGTGACTTTCCTGATATTTCAGCCGGGTCAAATACTGCCATTTCATTAAATGTGTAATATCAGAAATTACACACAAGGTGTCTTTTTGTGCCAGTGTGGGCGTCACCTGTTTTGGGCCAGTTCCACAGTCTCACTGTAAAGGACTGCTTGGTGTCGCATTTTACTATATTAGCACTTTTTAAAAAAACTTGTCTACAACCGAGGAACAGGCAGGAAACGACACTCTAACATATCAGGCAGAGCAGCAGTGTTTGACATCCTGGATGAACGATAAACGGCATGGCTTCCTGTGAAACATGGACACTTTTTATACTCTAACACACCAAATTGTCTGCAGTGGATAAGGCCTATTGTGACTTGAAAATTACAGGCTCACTGAACTTAACTCAGTAAAAGAATCCAAGGAATGGTAAAACATTCAATTTAATAACTCCCCTTTATTGAAACATTCTTAAGCATTTAAGGCCTTTAATTTGTCAAGTGTGTGTGTGTGTGTGTGTGTGTGTGTGTGTGTGTGGGCTGAAGAAAATTGGTCTGGGAAAGGTTTTAGTGGTAGATTCTTAGGTAGTCTAGAGTGGACACAGCGGGGGTCAAATGCTTTAAGTGTTGTTTTAACAGACTAGAATTTCTCCTGCTGTGTTACTCCCATCTCTCCCTACTTCTACCCCCAATCCCTTTCCCATGCAGGGAGCAGTGGGCTGTAATCACTAAATTACTGTTTTCAGACTCGGTTCGAGTCACCAAACTGCACAGCTCCCCCACCTCTTTCCCTCTTTGTCTCTCTTGCTCTCTCTCACTCTCTAGCACTCTTTCCCTTTCTCTCTTTGTCCTATTTCATTTGCTCTCTCATGTCGTTCTCTTCCCAGCTCGCCTTCATTATTTATCGTGAAGCCGTCTTACTGTAAGCTGCCTTTATGAGTGGAGGGCTGTGCGGGAGAGAGAAGAGGAAGACAGAGGCAGCCTGGGGGATAGAGGCGAGGGAGAGGGAGGGGAGAGGAGAGGATGGAAAGTTTGGAATATGAAATGAATTTGATTAATGCGCTGCTGATGAAATGATGAAACCACGGGCTTTCGTAATGGGAGCACTGCCCACTTTGCCGTTGCTCAGGCTTCGTATCTGTTTATCCATTCTGTCTTCACTTGTGTCGTCTCTGTCTAAAATGGAGCGTACTCCTCCGACAGTAAAACACTTCATTTTTCTAAATCTGTAAGCCTCTTCCTCAGGGGTGGAGGGGTGGCGGCACGAGCTAAGCATTTGCCACCCCCGACTGTTTTGTCTGAGAATTAATATAATTTGTTTAAAAACTTGGACTGAGTCGCAGTGACATCAGAGGTGAGGCATCCTGTCCTCATGGAGGACCCCATGACAAATGGGTGTCCTTGATTCAAGCATAGGTAGAAGGCTACACTACTTTCCCTCTGTCCCCGCTTTTTCTTCTGGCACGGGATGCAGGGAGGGATTTACAGAGGGGTGAGAACCGATGAAGAGCAAAGAGAGCACGGGAGAAGGAGGGGTTGTCATGGGAACAGACGTGGAGAGGCCTGTGTGAACGAAGAGGCTTGAGACAAAATGACAGGGTGACTGAACTTGGGATAGGCAGGTATTTAAAAAAGGGAAAAACAACATAGGCGACATGACAGCGGTGTGGAGATAACTCTCTTGTTTGTGATTCGCTCTTAAAACAAATGCCAGGTGCAGCGCGAGCAGGATATCACAAATAAAAGGCTCCATTCCCTTGTAGGACCATAAACTGTGTGCTTGTTTGTTTTTCTGTGAAGCAGGGAAAGATCTAACGCTCACTTACTGCAGGTTGTGCTCTGAGATCCCTCACCATTCTCCCATTAAAGACTCGTCCTTTCTCTCTGTTCTCGCTCTTCAGCCGGTCCCGACCAGCCCCACCAGCACCTCACCTACACCCGGTGGAACTTTGGGCATGTCCAAAATGGATGCCCCCAGCATGCAGGACGTCTATATCCTCTCTCCTGTTTCCGGACTCTATAGCACCAGGTCAGCCTCACACACAGGCAGATGCCTGATGATGACCATTACATTGATTATTATGATACGACGATGATGAGTACACTCATGACAGTGGTGATGACAAGCTGTGCTGTCTCTCCCCAGGGAGGAGATGGGTCTAATGTCATGTGACGACATCAGCCGCTACAGCGTTAGCTCCCAGTCGGGCTCTAAAGGTTCAGAGGCGGTCAGTTACTACCTGGACCAGGACAGCGGTCAGTACTTCTCCTTGCTGGAAGGAGATGGACCGCCGGGACCTGACTATGACAGGGGTCGCAATACGGGGGTTCGTCGGCGAGATAAGACCCCTACCCACGGTAAGAGGTCGAGCGTGACCAGGCGGCTTGGATGGAGCAGGAATGGCTCTGGGTCTGTATTTGTAATGGGAAAAAAAAAATCATGCTTTCTCCCACAAGTTCTCTCACCTTTTCTTTTCACCATGCTCTCAGAGCTCCTCCTTATGTGTTTGTTCATCACCCGCTTCATGGCTCTGCTCCTTTGTGTCATTTTCCGGCGGACACATGTGCCAAAAGCAAAACAAAATCACACGCCAAACAGTCAATCCAAATAAACTGTCTACAGCTCCCTGTCTGCCCCACCACCTGTGTCCACCCTCGTTCCAGATTACTTCCAAAGCATCCTGTAATGCACCCTTCCTCTGAGTTTATTCAGGCACAGCTATATGGCATGCAGGATGAGGGTCATTGAAACTGAGTCAGAAGGCAACATTTCTTTATCATCTCTTTAGCGAGGCAGTCTGAGAGCATAGTGGCAAAATGAAACTAATATTAGCGATTACATATGCAAGAATGATTGTCCTCGTATGTTTCATATGTCGTTTTGTGCCAGGCAAAACAGCATGGCAAATTTTTACCAGGATGGTGGCTGAGAAAGAAATGATGGGTTAAAAAAACACCTGTCATGTCAAGTAATGTCAGACATGAGTGCAACAGTATATACTTTAGCAATATCAATAGCAGCTAACATGCTAGCATGGATATCTATACTATAGTGGAATATGCTAGCATTTTCTATACCTCCAAAGGCAAAGAAAGGGGATTGCTAAATGAAGTTGCAGGACCATGGCATTATGAACAGACAACATGCCTGATTTGAATTTAATCAGTTTCCCTTTCAAAGTCATCTTCTCGTGCACCTCTGGGCCACTTCCAGTGCAGCTGCTATTTTTAGATCGCTGGTTGTTTTGTCTCTTCTGCACTGTGCACTTTGTGATCTCACCGTGGACCTCGATTTTTGTAGGAAGGAAACATCAAATTTTTGCTTCAAACTGAGCTGTCATCACTGGTGAAAGAAAGTGACCTGTGATACTGTTAGCTGTGTTCGGTTAGGGTCCAAGATTTCAAGCACAACCAGGAGCATCCTCGTGGTTTTTTGCCTTGTTATGCACAGGTTGTGCAAAGTGACATGTAAAGCTATAAACCCAGCTTTTTACTGCCACATCCTGGAATACCTGCTGCTGAATATAGCTGAGTTTCTACGGTTTTTCAGTGGATGACAATAAATCTTATACCATTATGTAACATGTTTATTACCCCTTAAACGGGGAAACAGTTTATTCTGCTACTGATTCTTGTTTGGTGTCGTTTCTTGGATTGGATGATTAAAGTCTGAGATAGTGGCAATTTAACAGTTTATTCGTTTAACAAAGGGGGGCCTCAGTAGCTGTGGATAAACCAAACACAGGCACAAACACCTGAGACCTCCTCCTCATGATGGCCACCAGCTTGGCCCCACACTGCTGTGAGATGGCATCGTGAGTCACCCAGCAGGGTTGTGTTGTTTACAGAATATTTGTGGCCAACACTGTTTGGCATCGGCAGGAAGGATCTGGCATGTTTTCAGGTATTAGTACTGGACTGCAAATGATTGACAAAGCAGCCCAAGTCCTAAGAAAAACTTTGATAGACCTCAAGAAAGGCTGGAGAACTATTGCTCAAGACCACTTTAAAAAATTGCACAAAAATCGGACTCTTTGGAAGCAAAATATAAAGAAATGAGTGACTCAAGACACCGTCAAGCTTTGATGAAATACGAATGAAATTAAGTGACAACAAAATATAAATTCAGCCTAATTACGGGGCCTTACTCGACACTCGCCTTGCAAGCTGTGTAAGTCCCCCGAGAGTCTGCCTAACCCCCTACCTGCACACACCTTCGCTCCCACCTGTCTGCCCCACCAGCTGTGTCCCACTCTGTCTCTCAGTCGCTGCGTCCTGCAAAACACCCCACCCCCAGTTCCTCCCCCATAGCAGACTATCTGATTGATGATTGGTACTTCCAGGTGACCTCAGACCCGTTTCCATGCCTCCCGAATATAACTGGATGGCCGAGGCCAAGGAACCCAGCATGGGCAAGAGAGGGAGCCGAGGTACACACACACAAACACCTATACATGCTAAAGCACAGCCCTCATACACACTGTTCAGACTGGTGCTTTGCTTCATACTCAGCTCAACACATTTCAGCTCATCTTCTGGTTATCCATGGTGGTGTGGTTGTGTGAGGATACATATCTACCAGGTATGTATCTGACAGGGTGAAAAACGAACATAAATGCAAAGCGACTGCATTTATACAGCTGCCCTGGAAATGTGGATATTTCAATGTTCCCAATTTTACCCAGCTTCACCTTTTTTTGCGGCAAGACTCAATTTGTATTCAGCTGGGGATCCACAACTCTGCCATCAGAGAGTCTATGAATAATATTAAAGCACAATACAAATGTTGGGGTTCTGCCCTTCTCCCTCTCCTTCTCGTTCTCTCTGTAACTTTTTCGTTTTCTAATATTTAAGTGTTCGGATAAGAAGCAAATTAGGTAAGATGCATTGTCTATCTGGAGCCAAAGCAGTATAAAACTTTTTGTTACCAACAAGATTTAGTTGTTCTGGTGCCTCCCAAATCAACATAATCACTGCAGACAGATTAGATGTATGTCCCCAGCTGTGGCGCCATATCAGATGCAACAGCTCTGAGGCACTTTTATCCTTTTCTGTTGCATTTTTATCTGTAAGGGTCTATTCAGTCTTGTCTGTTTCCGCTCTGCTCAGGGCTTCTCCTTTGACTCTTATATGCTATCTCCCCCCTCTGTGGTTTTCCTCTTACTGTCATCCAATCTATCGATCCTGTCCATCATCTAATGTCCATGTCCCTTCAATCCCCCTCCTCTTCCATACAGATTCAGACAACTCCCTCCTGCGCTACCTTAGTGATGACAAGATTCTGGTGATCGAGGAAGAACCCGAGGGTCCGAGCAGAGAAAGCCGCCGGGATTCCACCAGACGCTCTCGGCGTAAGAGCCGTAATCCCAGCAGCCCTAGTTTTCCCATTAGCCCCTCCATGCTGTCCTCCACCCTGCGCCTAGACCAACCACCTGAACCATTGCCTGTAAGTACATTAGTTTTGAACGTTTATTGTTGCCTTTAAATACAGGGCGAGTAAGTTATATCCACCTTCATCAGGACACAAGCTATTTTAAAACAGACTGAGTCCAAGTGAAACAACTGTCCCATGGTCAAACCAATTTAGACTGACATTCTTGATAGAGCCTTGTAGTCATATGGAGAACATATAAAGGAGCCAAAGAGAGGGGGAGTCCACTTTGCTGTCAGCACAAAATTCAAAAGCCAGCATCTGATGGCATTTGTAGGCATTAATGAATGAATGACATCTGTGAAGGCACCATTAATCCTGGACGTATACAGAATTTTTGGAGCAACGCGTGCTGTCATCCAGATAATGTCAGTTGAAGAAGAGGAAACCAAAACACATTTACACATCTTAAATCAGCATGCTCAAAACACAAAGAGCTTCAGGGTTAAAGTAACCTGCATTCAAGAAAACATAAACTTTTCAAAACTAAATTAAATGGTGCTGAGCCTATCGAAGCTGGCAAGGAGCAAGAGGCACGCAGAGGTGGAAAACCATTCATCCTCACATCTACACCTAGGGCCACGTTACAATCACCACTTATCTGTGGAAACTCAGGCCCGAGCTGGCCAGTGGATTCGAACCCAAGGCCTTCCGTTGCTCCACTGCTAACCAGCGTTGCTCTATCATCGACAAAAGTAGCAATTATTGTTCAAAAAGTAACAAGCAATTATATTTCTGACTTGATTCTTGATTTTCTGTTTCCTGATAATTAATTTCCAGATGTATTTGATAACATTAACCATGGAAGAGAAAGGCCTGGTACTGATAGAAAGGTGCACACAGAGCATCACAGTTTGTTGTTGTCCAACACCAACAGACAACAACACGTGAGAGCACGTGTGCATCAGAACTGGACCACAGAGAAATGGAAAAAACATGATGAATCGTGTTTTCTTTTATATTACGTGGATGGCCAGATGCATGTGCGTCTCTTACCTGAGGATCACCTGGCACCAGGATGCACTGTGGGAAGAAGACGAGCCGGCGGAGGCAGGATGATGCTTGGAGTAATGTTCTGCTGGGAAACCTTGGGTCCTCCCATCCATGTGGATGTTACTTTGACCTGTACCACCTACCTGAGCATTGTTGCAGACCATAAACACCCTTTCATGGAAACTGTATTCCCTAAAGGCTGTGGCCTCTTTCAGCAAGATAGGGCGCCCTGCCACAAAGCAAGAATAGTTCAGGAATGGTTTGAGGAGCACAACGAGTTTGAGGAGTTGACTTGGCCTCCAAATTCCACCGATCTGAATCAAATCGAGCATCTGTGGGTCCACCCTTTATGATCCACGAAGCCCCTACAGGGTTTTTACAGTCTGTTGCTAACAACAACGGTGCCAGACACCACAGCACCGTTTCAGGGGTCTAGTGGAGTCCATGACTCGACCAACACATTATTAGGCAGGTGGTCAGAATGTTATGCCTGATCAGTGTATTATTCAAGTTTGAACATTTCCTAATAAATATGTTATATGTACTTTGTTTTACTAACTTTTTCAGACTACAGTGCTCAACTGTTTAAGATTATTGAGCCATTTTTAAACACTAAACTACTGATAGACACAAATTTAAAGGTTTACACCAGGGCCGGTGTCCTGCAGGTTTTAGATCTCACCCTGGGTTAACACACCTGAATCAAATGATTAGTTCATTACCAGGCCTCTGGAGAACTTCAAGACATGTTGAGGAGGTAACTTAGCCATTTAAATCAGCTGTGTTGGATCAAGGGCACATCTAAAACCTGCAGGACACCGGCCCTCGAGGCCTGGAGTTCCCCCACCCCTGGTTTACACCATCGTTAGGATTTACTGGTCTTAGGACTAGGTTTTTCTAAGACAGGGTTAAGAAACGCACTGAAACAAAACACCGACGTGTTACCTTCATTTTTGTTAACTTTAATGCCTGTGTATTTCTAGCCAAACCTTTCTCCTTATTATCAAACATCAGATATGTCTGGAAATTAAGTATCAAGTGCTAAAATGATCAGAAAATAAGCAACAAGCAACAAGAGTTTGTAGAAACAGAAAAGAGTTTCAGAAGCGAAGCAGAAAAATAAATAAGATTAATAAACAATCAAAATCAAAGATGTAAATGAAAAATCTTCAGAGGAACCACTGAGCGGAAGCTTTATTATTAGTGAATAACAAGTCACAAAGCTGAGCAAAAGCATTAAGTCATAACTACAATTGCTTGTTCTTATCATCAGAGGCATCTGGGCCTCTGAGAAGTTTCCTGCCGGTGGCTGTAGGACAGATCGCGGTGTTCGCACCTTCTGACATGCTGTCGGTTGTGTTTGTGTGCATTTGTCAGGTAGAGGACACAGAGGAGAGCGACAATGATAAGTGTTATTGCACGGCCGTCAGCATCGCCCATGACGAGAAAGACAGTGACACCGAAGCACTCCCCTCCATAGCTCATATGTTTCTCCCGTGCGCAACAAGCTCACGTGCACGGGGCTACGCGCAAAACAAACAAGCATACAAGGAGGGCATTTGTATGCAGGGTAGCCATCTCACGACTCATCCTAACTCATCCTAATATCCCCCATCTCCTCAGACACGCCTGGGTCTAAATAGGAGTTTATTCTGAATAAACACACACGCTCCCGTGCGCACACACAGGAGCACGTATCCCTGTGAGTAGGTGTATGACTCAGCATCAGCTAGACCAATTACAAGCGCAACTGACAGACTGTGCTTAAAACTACGCACGCAAACACAAACACGCACACACACCACACGGCAAGCTAACAGCTTAGCTCACACCGGCCCTCTCTAACCCTCTCGGCTGCGTGTTTCTCACGGTGGTGAGTCATACCTGTTTGGTGGGACATGAAGTATACCATCCTGCACTAACAAGCATATGCTAACCTAAATGACCCGTGGGTTTTGTCTGTCTCATTTCCTCTGTCTGATTCGTTTCTATCATAGCAACAGTTTGGCAAATGTCACACAAACTGAACGGCAGACATTTAGAAGATTTTTTGTTTTGTTTTTTTAGTTTTTGCACATTTTTTACAGTGCATGCCATTAGATTGCCCATACAGGTGAAGTATTCTTAATATCATGTATTGTAAGATGTGCAGTGTATAAGGCTAGCAAAAGAACGTGCAACGGTACTTGTGTTGCAAAATCTCCTGGAAGACTGCAAGGATTATGAGATAATGAAACCCCGACTGAGCCCCTGCTCTCCAGCAACAAATGCTCCTAATGATCTCGTCGCACTGTGGCTCAGGATCTGAGGATCCCTTGAGCACAGAAAGCTGCACAAGTAGTCCCATTTGTTTAAGAAGAATATTTTGTGATAATGGATTTTTTAAAAATATATGTTTTTAAAGGACACCACAAGTGAATTCACTGAGCTGCAACTAGATTTTTATAGTTAGGTCCATACGTGTTTGAAATTGTCACAATTTTTGTAATTTTGCCTCTCTACACCACCTCGGTGAATTTTAAATCCAACAGGCTAAATGTGGTTGAAGTGTATCCTTCAACTTTATTTCAAGGTTTTTTTTTTACAAAAGTACTGTATTAACTGTTCAGAAATTACAGACATTTTTCCACGCAGACCTGCATTTTCTGAGGCTTAAAAGTATTTTGGCAATTCACTGACAAGGGGTTTTGCTGCCAGATGATCTTCCTTCATTATTCCATAAACAATTAGCCAAATTATAGATTAGTATTGATCTTATGTGTTCAAGGGGTATTTGGTAGCTTTTCCCTGAACTCTTAATATGAGGTACAAAGAGACGTTAATGCACATGAAGGAGGGCCTTATTGGGCTGAAAAAAACTATTTAGGAAGATGGGGAAAAAGCTTCTAGCACAATCTGGTTATTCTTTAATATAAGGAATGCATTGGAAAACTCAGCAAGAAAGACCACAGGAGACAACTAAAGACTGGAGATTTCTTTACTTGGTTGGCTTCACAACCTCTAACCAAGTCAAGAAGTCTCTTGAGGAGGAAGGTGTGTCATTGCCAAAGTCTTCAATCAAGAGATGCATTCATGAATAGAAATACAGAGGGTTTAACACCAAGGTGCAAACCACTGATTACACATCTAAGAGAACACCTAAAAGAGTTTGACCACATCCTCCGTCTAACATGGTGGAGGCAATATTATGGCATGGGCATGTATGGACACCAGTGACGCGGACTAGTGTTTATTGATGATGTGACGTCTCATAGAAACAACGGGGTGAATTGTGAAGTGCGCAGGGCTGCACTCTCTCCTCATATTCAGTCGAGTGCTGCAAAACTGATCAGGCAGCACTTCACGGTGCAAATAGCGAGCGTGCTGCAAACAGTGGCATGTCTAGAAAATTTTTGTTGGGGGGGCCAGGTAGGGGCACAGATTTGGAGAAGGGTGGCAGATGTAATTGGCAGATGATGTTTAAAAAAAATTCTACCAACCGTTAACCATAATTTAATAACCCTATAAACCTAATAACCGAATGCGCTTTTAACTCTTATTAGAATGAGATTTTAACCACTACGGTGCAAAGTTTTTAGATACTGCGTTGATAAAGTACAAGAGATACAATCAGTGCTTTGTCGGTGTTTACTCAGCATTCAAGGACAGCAATATTTGCATAGTATTTTTACTGACATATAGTGCACATATGTTTTGGGCAAAAACATTTTTGAATATTAAAATACAAACATTTGTAACAAACAATTGACAAATTAGCCAATGCCAATGTAAAACTTTATCTGCCTATTAAAAAAAGAAGATAATCTTCTCACAAACTGGTGTTTGATTTTGAAACAGGAAAAAAGTGGGGAAACAAATGAAAAGACTAACATTTGAATAAAACCTGAAAGCAAGTAAATACTTTCTTTGCTGCCTTATGGTAAACTTTGGTAATATTGATAAAGAAAAACACTGGCTGATGATGAAATACAGTCAGCTGGCATGGT